TCTGTTAAGGTTTCTTTGTCATGGCGGTGATTGTACCGCACCTGCATCAACGTATTGTCACCAGTTGATATATGAGAGTTCCTGATCAAAGGGTTGCCACTGTAGTCATCCGATACTGTCATTACAATGATAATGGCGCTAACATCGCTATATGGAACAAGATCCAGGAATAATACAGTGTATCAAACAGGGACTTTGAGACCTCACGCAAAACACCCGATGGTTGTTGACAAATGAAATCAATGGGTTTCAACACGTTTGGTGTTAGTCTTGCTGTGTGTACAGACTGTCTGCAAATACACTGACTGTCGCAATTTAGCACAGACAGAACTAATATTATTACAAATAACAAACGGTCTGATATTCTTCTGACAGTATCCTGTAAGTAATTTATCCCAAACAAAGTCCATGTATTGCCTTTCCAATATTAAACTGCTCAACCACCTTTGAAACAAGACGTTTGATTGTTTTAATGTTTTAATATTGATTATCAAAGTATTCACGTGCTCAATATGTTTATCCCTACGGGTTTGGCATTTACGAGATGTTGGTAAAACCTGAAATTTATATATTGAAAGGTTACATAAGACATGTTTATGACGAGGAAAAACACCCGTTTGCACGTGCACACGTCATTCTAGTACTACGTGCTAGCGCACCGCCGTGACTTGTTTGAATGACAAGATATTTTCTCAGGGAGCTAATGCATATTTGGTATTAAATGTTATTGTAACACAATGTGTTGTTACGAACATATTGTGATAAGGCGAGTGTTTCATCGTTAATACTTCACAGGCGTTGTGTAAACTACGATCCTCCATCAACCGTGAATAGATACGGTCGCTTTGTTGTGAAGTCGCTATTTATAACCAACGAATCAGTCAAGGGCCTGGTCCTAGCGGGAGGGAAACCAAAGCGTGGCGTGACCAATGAGCGATCAGATTACATCGGGAATATTTCTCATGCACCAGGGGGCACAGGTGGCCCAGTCGTCTAAGGCGCCGCGATTCCCTGTGCAGAGTTGCGTCCCTTGGGTGCGCCAGAAACCTATGATTGTGGGTTCGAATCCCAGTTCGCCCCGATTATGTTTCTAGGTTTGTCAGCACCATACCCGTGCTCGTGGGTTTCACCGAAGTGGTAAACGTCTGAGACCTGCATCACTTCGGGCTTTCCTCCCACATTAAGCTGACACACCGCGATATAACTGGAATACTGTTAAAAGCGGCATTAAACCCAACTCACTCATTCACTCACTCTCATGCACCATGTGTCATAGCCTTGCGGTCGTCTATTACGACTGTGCTGTTTGACTTGGGTGTTTGCGCTTTATCATAACGAGGCGAGGGACGCTCATAATATTGATCACTGGTTTGTCTGGTCCCAACTCGTTTATATAGCTGTAATATACCTGGAATATTGCTGACAGCAGCGTGAAACAATAAACAAAACAATAAGATATTATGGAGACTGATAAAAGAAACGACTATATTATATATAACTTTCATATTGGATTGAACTGCACTCCCCCCAACCCCCCAACCCCCCAACCCCTACCCCCAGCCCCCACCCTCTATCACTGTGAGGTTCCTGACATACTGCAAAAATGGTCACAATTCAATTTTTGTACATACATACGCGCGCGCACGCACGCACACGCACACACACACATCCGTTTAAATTTCATTCGTAAAATAGGTATTGTAATATTTCTTCAACGACGAGAAACAACGTTCTCTCACTCAAACCATTTTAGAATAAATACATATGACTAAACCAAGGTTGAGCGCATGAAATATCAAAAGAAAAACTGGTCTAACACCGCATATTTAACAAATTCACATCTAGGATCAATGAAAGACAAGGGCTCGAAGATGGTAGTGTCATTTTCTGTTGCATTCGTGACCAACTCGTGTTATTCCGGGACAAGCCGAATAGCGACTCGTGCCCCTCTCGTGGCCATTTTTGCGACCGGGATCCGTCTTAGCGCAAACGGGCATACCTAAAACAATTGTCAACTCGTTGTGTAAGGGTTTACATATATTTCCCCATATATAATATATATTTAAGATGCAATTTAAAGCACATCGGGACGTGCGGAATTATACAGTATGATTGAACACATTTAAATGTGTCTTGGGTATAATTTTAGATGCAAGACACATGTCAAATCAAAAATTATTTCTGAGGGATTATTTGACAAAGAACTCGAAATCATACGCGCATTCTGACTGGTTTGTCGTATTTTCGCACACAACATTCATCGATAGGGGGACGAGTCTTCTTGCAGGTTACGGAAAGGGGCGAGTGGTGACGAATGTTTCTGTTGCTATTGGGAAGCCAGCACTCGTGTCTTTCCGTGAAAAGACGAATGGTTACGGAAAGGGGCGAGTGGTGACGATTAAAATGACGTCGATTATTTCTCCCTTCTTTCCGAATCACCCAAGAAGCTTTCGCGAATGTGGCACAACGATTAATTATTTTCTTCTCTTTGGCCGCTTACAGCTGATAATTTGCAACGAACAAGGCACACGCCGGCTTTTCCCGGAATGACACGAATGGCCACGAATGTTACAAACGATATAAAAAAATATCTACTCTATCTACTCTATCAGGTGCATCAAACTTTTAATAAATTTACAAAATCAGATTTCCTGGTGAATAATTACCAATCCAAAGGCTGGTGTTTGTATACCGTCCACGAAATTGTTTGTTTGTTTATTGGTTAGCGCCGCACACAGCAATATTACAGATATATGACGGCGGTCTGTAAATAATCGAGTCTGGACCAGCCAATCAAGTGATTAACATCATGAGCATCGATCCACGCAATTGGTATACGATGACATGCATCAACCAAGTCAGCAAGCCTGACTACCCGATCCCGTTAGTCGCCTCTTACGACAAGCTTAGTCGCCTTTTACGACAAGCGTGGGTTGCTGAAGACCTACTCCATCCCGGATCTTCAAGGGTCAGTCTAATGGTATTCACAAACGCTAATGTACAATCACCTTAACATTGTCTATGCCACCTGGGGGCACGTTAAACAAACAAACAATTAGAGTGATGAAGTTCCGGTCCATCAGTTGTCTTGTTTGTTTACAGGCCGCCGTCGCATGGCAGGAGTACCTGTGTGCGGCGTAATCAACAAACAACACTTACTTTGTTATGCAAATTGTGTGAGTGGCGGGTGCTACCGGTAGGGCAGGACGGCAACGTGCTTACCCTTTTCGGTTTTGACCACTGGCCCATTCATGTAATTTTTACCGCCATTTTGCCTTTTCCGCTGAGACCCGTGAAGATTCCGGGGTAGAATATAGCCTAATAGGTCTTCAGCAACCCATGCTTGCCGTAAAAGGTGACTATGCTTGTCGTAAGAGGCGACTAACGGGATCGGGTGGTCAGGCTCGCTGACTTGGTTGATACATGTCATCGACCCCAATTGCGTGGATCGATGCTCATGATATCAATCACTGGATTGTCTGGTCCAGACTCGATTATTTACAGACCGCCGTCATATATCTGGAATATTGCTGAGTGCGGCGTTAAACAACAAACAAACAAACCTTTTCCGCTGAAAGGACTCTGTTTCGGTTGATAGTCAAGAGGGGCGGTGGGGTAGCCTGGCGGGTAAAGCGTTCGCCCGCCACACCATAGACCCGGGTTCGATTCCCCACATGGTATAATGTGTGAAGCTCATTTTCCGGTGTCCCCCGCCGTGATACTGCTGGAATATTGCTAAAAGCGGCGTAAAACCATACTCACTCACTGATAGTCAAGACGGTTCTTCTCCGACGCATTCGTGACCAACTCGTGTTATTCCGGGACAAGCCGAATAGCTTTACGGAAAGGGGCGAGTGGTGACGAATGTCTCCGACGTTGACGCGTTACAGTTACATGGTACTGACTGTAAAAGTTTCATTAATGTAATGAAAAAGGAATAATGCATTATTGGAAAAAAGATTTATGAACAAAATTTACCCATGTGAATGAATTTTGAGTCATCGCATATATAAATGCCGCAACGACCGTATAAAGCACATCACCTTCAGGAGGAGGTTGGCTGTGAGTGAGTGAGTGAGTTTGGTTTTACGCCGCTTTTAGCAATATTCCAGCAATATCACGGCAGGGGACTCCAGAAATGGGCTTCACACATAGTACCCATGTCGGGAATCGAACCCGGGTCTTCGGCGTGACGAGCGAACGCTTTAACCACTAGGCTACCCGACCGCCCAGGTTGGCTGTGAAGTACGAAGTTCAATGTCATGTTATCGAACAATTTGTTTATACATACTTAAATATACAGATGTCGGAACATCATGACATTCCCGTGGCTGCGTGAATATATGTAATCGACCTTACAGCTGTTGTCTTATCTTGTACTTGAAATGACCACCCCTGATGATCCGGGTTACAATTGGTCTTCAGCAACCCATGCTAAGAGGCGACAACGGGATCGGGTGGTCAGGCCGACTTGGTTGATGCTTGTCATCGTATCCCAATTGCGTAGATCGATGCTACGATATCAAACACTGGATTGTCTTGTCCAGACTCGATTATTTACAGACCGTCGTCATATAGCTGGAATATTGCTGAGTGCGGCGTAAAACAACAAACAAACAAACACGATACGATTTCTGTTTGTTCTCACTGTTGGTTAAGCAATAATGTGTTCTAAGACATACAGGATACCTAAACATATCTTTACATTCTGCCAAATACCCTTCCACATCTGAGGTGAGGTGAGGTGAAATGGGGTTTAACGTCGCGTCCAAGATTATTGCACTTATATAGCGACGTGCATGCACGTGTGTGTGTGTGTGGCTGCTTGTACTAGTCCGGACTGATGCCGATTTATAGTGCTAGCTCACTGAGATACCATGCCGCAGTTTAACATGAATACCCCACTCAGACACAGTATACTGACTCCGAGCCGACCAGTCCTTGTTTCAGCCCCTTAATGCCGAGCGCCAGACAGGGTAACAACAAGTACCATCTTTTAACGTCTTTTGGTATGACGCGGTCGGGGATCGAACCCCGGACCTTCCGCTCTCCGGGCGGACGCTCTACCACTAGACCACGGAGGCGGTCCCACATCTGAGCGTAGATACAACCATGAATGTTAACTACTGTGGTCACATTAGGCACGCAATCGAATCCAAAACTACCCCTCTGATTTCTCACGTTTACCGATAATTTGTACTTACGTTATATCAAGACAAAAGTTTAAGACACGATTTTCAGCATCTGTTTATTGTATTGTTTAACAAAGCAAATGTGTAACCATGACTTTCAAGAGGCGTTTGGTGAGCCTAGTGTTTAAAACGTTCGGTTGTCGCACCGAAGGCCCAAGTTTGATTACCCTCATGGGCGTTCTCTGTTAAGCCAATGTCCAGTGTTTACTGCCGCGATATTGCTGAAATATTGGTAAAAATCGGCTTAAAAACCCAACTCACTCACTCACTCACAATCATGACTTACAAAGCCATGGGATGACCATTTAAGTTTCTTCAAGTAACTGAACAATACCTGCAGGTATGTATACTACTCAAAAGAAGTAAAGGGCCACTCGATTCTTTCATATTACTATAGTTATACTGTCGTGCCCTACCAACCAATTCTTTCAGATTACTATAGTTAAACTGAGATCACAGATTAACTATAGTAATATGAAAGAATCGGGTGGTTCTTAAATTATTTTGAGTAGTATATGAAAAACACATAACTCTCAAAGGTCACGAACAAGCATTTCAGTCATACATGTATAAGAAGAATCAAAATTGAAAAAAATATCTTGGTATGATATTGGTATACTGATCATATGTGAAGACACATAAGCTCCATGGAAGCTATATATAATAAGAGGTGCAGAATTGTGATTGACTAGACTTGGACATTCTTAGTGAGCGATAAGTGTGTTATTTCAAATATTCCAAAACACCGGGATAAATGAGACTGGATGAGCACCGGCCATGATACATCAGAGTTGATTAAGTCTGGCCACGATACATCAAACTGGATGAGGACCGGCCATGATACATCAAACTGGATGAGGACCGGCCATGATACATCAAACTGGATGAGGACTGGCCATGATACATCAGAGTTGATTAAGTCTGGCCACGATACATCAGAGTTGATTAAGTCTGGCCACGATACATCAAACTGGATGAGGACCGGCCATGATACATCAAACTGGATGAGGACCGGCCATGATACATCAAACTGGATGAGGACCGGCCATGATACATCAAACTGGACGAGGACCGGCCATGATACATCAGAGTTGATTAAGTCTGGCCACAATACATCAAACTGGATGAGGACCGGCCATGATACATCAAACTGGATGAGGATCGGCCATGATACATCAGAGTTGATTAAGTCTGGCCATGATACATCAGAGTTGATTAAGTCTGGCCACGATACATCAAACTTGATGAAGACCAGGATAAATCGACCTGGATGAGGTATGGCCAGGATGCATCAGATTGGATGAAGTCTGGCCACGATGCAACAGATTGGATGACGCCTGGCTGGGATACATGGTAGGGGGAGGGGGGTGGTACAGTGAGAAGGATTAACTATCTTACAATAACATAAAGATTATGTGAACACAATCCATTTGTTATATGTTGCTTGTCCATTTTCTTGGAATGTCCTCTTTGCTGCTTGCGAGATGCCAGATCCGAATCTCTTGGACAAATCAAGGTAGTACCTTCCTTCAAACAACAAGGTACTATACTTGTTCTATAGGATGGATTTTGTTTTTGGATTGTTTACCTTTAGGAGGTTTCACAGTCACCAGTGGGTTCAACCCCCAAGATGAAATGCTTTCAGAAGGAATGATGTGTATATTTGCCCCCTTGTCATCTTCAGTGCCACTGGCCGAACCGTTATTTGACTTAATAGAACCACGTGACTTGTCCGATGATTTCGAGGCACGTGACTCACACCGAGATTTCTCGGTATCTACACCAGAATCCACTGATATATCAGATGGAATGTCTACGAGGCAGTCTCGTCCCTTCAACCAGTAGGAGTCCATCTTGATTCCCTGTAACAATAGATGGCAATATAGACACATTTCATCATCATACTCATCGTCTTGATAATAATTAAAGAAAAGGATTAATTATGCTGATGAAGATGATGCTCGCAATGTAACACGTTCAAAAATATGTGTGAGTTATATTAAGAATGGCCCAAGACTTTGATTTCGCGTCAGTAATCGCGTAACAAGAAAATAGTAAATGTTACCATGTAATTACTTGGTATGTGCAAAGTTTCACTAATACATTCTGATACAGCATGAACTTCTTTGAGAGGCATTTAGAAGTTTCACTTGCACTTGCTTGATAGCTTGATAACGGTGTTAAAACCTACACCGAAACGTCGCTCCTAATTCTAATAAAGAAGTTGTTCATCCATATATCTTATCCTTGCTTACATCATGCAAAGGTAATTCTGATTTCAGTGTTTCTGGAGTAGGCATTGACTATTTCATGAATAAAAGTTATTTTGGAGTGACAAATGTAAAATACCAGTCATCAAAACGACAGTATTTGCTATAATTGGATTTCTATATTGTTAAAGTTAATTCAAACATATTGAACAAATCGTGGTATCATTACTTCTAAAACTCTCTGCTGCGAAGAGTTTCGTCCCATAACCATACTAGGATCAACTGGTCAAATCAAAAGGACGATGTATGATAATTATTCTTTTGAGCCCACTGGAAATGTGGAAAACTTTAAATATTGGTATGAAAAGAATCAGACATGTACAAATAGACCTAGCCATGTTTCTTCCTTACACTTTTCAAGTTTTGGATTACTGGCGTGACCAAATACATAAATATGGCTAAACTTCAAATGAAAATTGAAATATGGTTGATTTATGCATGTAGTTTTTATGTACATCTTCTTGGGTCAAAGACTTGTTCATATTCAAATATCAGAAAACGCTTCATGAATACCTCTAAGTTCACACCTTTTGACACTTTGTATCCTTATCTTACATTTTGTGTCATCATTCCCGAACGTGCAACTGTTCAAATAAACAGTCTTGTTCTTTTTCGTATGAAAACACCTCAAAACTTTTTTACCAATTTCTAGTTTTGCTCAATTCTTAAATTATGCAGACACTGTTGGTCAAAATGAGACCTTTTTGTACCTGGTCCTTTCAAACTGATTATTATCCTTGGTTATGTTAGCACCACAACTGTGCGTCGAGCTATGTACTTTGAACTTTTCTCCCACATTAAGCTAACATGCTGTGATATATCCAAAATACTTCTGAAGGCGGCTGAAAACCTATCTCACTCATTCATTCTGAAAATATGTCACATGTCTTACCTTGTGTTCAATTGGCTCCGCTGGCTCCACAAAGAAGTACGTTTTTTTACAGATATGCTTGTACATGATTGTGGAGATTCGAACATTGGAGGAAGTCGACTGTGAAAGAAGACTCTTCGTGACGTCAATGGGTTCTCCCATGATGACAAACTTGGGCGCAGCTTGACCGACAATGCCAGTAGCAACACTGCCAATGTGTGCCCCAAGGCGGAACTCAAATGGTTTAGATATGGAAGAAGGGCAGGTTGCTTTATTAGCATGGGAGATAATGTCCAGAGCAATGTTCGCTACAGTCTCAACACACTTCTCCGTAGTAGACTTAGCTTCCTGTAATCCGACAACAACCGCAAATGAATCGCCCTGAAGGTTCGTACGGTACGTGTCCTTCTTTTGCAAAGCTGTTTCAATTTCAGAATGTATGTCATTCAAGTATTGAACAATATCTTTAGCAGATGCATTCTCAGTGACATATTTAATGTTAATAATATCTGCCATGATTATCCCTAAGGACAAATACACTTTCGTCTCAACCGATTGCCCATTAGTGATCCTCTTTACCAAATGATTTGGGATGATATCATTCATCATTGTTTCCATGTTCCGTTTGGCAACGGTAAGCTCAGAAGTCCTCTCCTCAACCCGTTCCTCCAGATGGGCCGTATACTCCTCCATAGCTTCCATCATGGAATCGAGGACGGACTTTCGGCTGGATCGTGACTGTCTCAGCATCTTCAATATCTGTTCAAATGTTGGCCTAGTGGCAGCATTATCCGACCAAGCAATCTCCATAATCTGCCTCACGTTCAAAGGTGTGTCATCATTGGGTTGAGGGCGGAGATTATTGTTAACCACCGCCTTCAGGACTTCATCAGGACTCAGAGCATCAGCATGTTCTGAATAAGGATCCTCACGCGTAAAAATCTCTTGTATAATTATCGAGAAACTGTACACATCCGTCTGTGTAGATGGAGACAGCTCAAAGTCGGTTCTAAGAATCTCCGGAGCAACCCAGAAGTCTCGGAACGCAGCAGCATATTTACTAAGGTAGTGTGGATCCTTGCGAATATAGTGAAGAGGGTTCTTTTTCTTGTATAACTGCTTAAACAATTTACAATACTCCCAGTCCCCAACTTTAACCGTCCACCTCGAGTCAATGAGACAGCATGAAGAGTTGAGGCTGCCGTGTATTATGCCATGATTGTGGAGGAAATTCATACCACTAGCGATGTCCGAAGATAAGGAAAACTTAAAGTCATTCGTGAGGTTGTACTTTTCATCCTGGAGAATATCAGTCATTGGTCCTTTTCCACAATATTCACCAATGACATATTTTTCATCATCTAAGTTGGTGAGACCAAAGAACCTCACCACATTTGAATGGACTATTGAATCTCTAATCCACAACAGAAGTCTCTTCATCTCTCTATTGATGTTTGCCATTTCTTTTATCTCCAAGAGTCGGATGCCGATAACATGTCCTTTCCATTTTCCCGGCCACTGTAGGATTTGGTCAAGAAGCTCGGATCCTTCAGGAATATCCTCAATGTTTTGTAAGGACTTTATCGACTTCATAGTTCCCAATTTGGACCTGCCTCCGGACAGAACCTTATCATCCAGATAGAAGATTATGTCCTCAATTGGGATATCCCACTCATCATTTTCTATCATTTTGTTCAGTTTCCATCTCTGGAATGCTATGTAGCCCAGGAGTACTGAGACCAGCAAGAGCACAAGAGGCACTGATACAGCAACAGGTACAATCCAGGTTTGTTCAACACGATTCTCCTCCGCTATGTCTGCTTGAACCATATCCCACACCGACTGTCCTTTGCATGTTATTATCTTCAAGATTCTGGCCACATTCTTTTCAACGAGAACTTGCGACAAAGGCACAAGGTGCACTGATGTACATGCATCCTTAGCTTTCTGATCGTGCATAAACCAGTTTACATAACGCACCAACTCTTTGGCCGAATCACAATCACTCATTTCCGTTGCAAACACAATCATATACGTGAAACCTGCTATAGGATAGGCATCCTCGTGGTCCTGGTCAGATAGTGTTCCGGTTAGATCATCCCCAGCATTCTGTGACCATCTATCCATGGCCCCCTGTATTGCTGTGGTGGTTGATCTCACATAATGGCCTTTCTTATTCTGTAACGTAGCATACGTAATGCCATGCTCACTAGCTCCAGCGACAGAGACGTAGCCTATGGTGTGCTTTATCGACAGGAGCAGCCCGGATACTCCAACGCTTTTCTCCCCAAAGGTCGTGATGACGCTGTTGTTCCATTTGTCGGGTTGGTTTGTCTCTTTATTGAATCCTAGGTCAAAGACCCCAAAGGTGTTATTCCATTCCTTGCTGAATCCGCTTAAAGCTGCGGTGAACATACTTGTTGTTCCTGATTTATCTGCCCTCACCACCACTCGGATCTTTTCACTGGGCAAATTACAAAAAGGATTCTTTTCAGCAATACTCGAGTCATTCCAAGAGCTGAATGTCCCGTTGAAGATGCCAACTAAGTGTTCGCGAGTGAGGTTTAGAGTTGACGTACACTCGGGTAGATTGTAGCCCACTACTGTTCCCCTGAGAAGAGATGGTGATAGTCATTGTTACTACTAATCATCACAAAAGACATTTCGGAGTACATTATATCAGAATAGGTCTTCAGCAGCCAATGCTTGTCGTACAAGGTGACTATGCTTGTCGTAAGAGGCAACCAACGGGATCGGGTGGTCAGGTTCGCTGACTTGGTTTTTGCATGTCATCGTATGCCATTTGCGTCAATCACTGGATTGACCAGACTCGATTACTTACAGACCGACGTTATATAGCTGAAATATTGTTTAGTGTGGCGTCAAAATACAAACAAGCAAAAGATTTCATTGTCAGCTGTATCGTTTTTTTCTTGATGTCATGCTCGACATGGGTACAGTGTGCGAAAACCATACTCACTAACTCTTGCTGTTATGTTATACATTGAAAAATACTAATTTTGTAACCGTGTATATAGGCCAAGGACCTTTCGTGCAACAACCATTATTTTATCCCAGTTGTGTCATCTATCTTAGGCTTAACAATTGGTTGATGGCATGAACAACAATTCACGAAGTTGGGGCACGATGGCCCAATCAGCCAGCTCGCACATCATAGTCAGCCTATGTATAGCATCTTTGACAAGGTCGAGTTCTGGGGACCTGCTCCACCCGGAATGTCTATGAGAATCTTGTTCACAACTTTAGCGGAATGCCGGCACTTGCTTTGTCTCGAACTAAGTCAGTGAGAGAATGAATATGGTTTTACACCGCTTTAAGCAATATTCCAGAGGAATCGAACCCGGGTCTTCGGTGTGGCGGGCGAACGCTTTACCCACCAGGCAACCCCACCGCCCCTCTTGACTATCATCACACATCATACCAACCCGGGTCCTCGCCGTGACAAGCTAACACTTTAGCCACTAGGCTACCGAACCTTTTCAACTTTTATCAAACTGACCCTTTCGTGAACTCCAAGAGCACGGGTATGGTGCTGACAAATCTAGACACATAATTAGGGTCAATCGGGGATTCGAACCCACAATCTTAGATTTCTTGCACGCTTCTGGTACGCAACTCAGCACAGTGAGTCGCATGTGCACCTGTTAGTCAACGACATTACCGCAGTTGACACATTAGGCAGCTTTGGCCAGTGTAAACTGTTCGTTGGTAAACGTCTGAGACATGCATCACTTTGGGCTTCCCACATGAAGCTGACACGCTGTGATTAAACTGAAATACTGTTCAAAACGGCATTAAACCCAACTCACTCACTCACTCACTCTTAGACTCACCCTGCGAGCGTCGGGAACATCACCAGATCGGGAGCCTGTTTCCTTTCTGTTTCCGACATAATTGAGTCCGACCCGGCGAATTCTAAAGTCCCATCGTTTTTTATGATACGTCTACGCCCGCTTCCACTTCCGATCGACAGGTAGGTGGCGTTGATGTCTCTGGATTGCTGCTGCCGGAAGACTTTGTACGATTGTGTCCAGCTCTTGTACACCTGTTCAGGAAAACTAGCGCCCGCCCCACGAAGTTGAACCACCCCTTCACAGAACGGGGACAATGTGAGAATGAAGAGATGCAAAATGGCGCCGTTGAGTCGTCTGCTCATTGTCGTCGATTGGACTGGAACCGGATGTCACATTCAGATGTTGTTTTGTTACAGACCGTACATCCACACACAACACAGAACAATCCCACTTATGTTTTCATCGTTTTTTTCATCTCGTTTCCATAGTTTCATTGTCGTAAGAGTTTTAACATACTGAATTTCCCCTTTGACATTCACATTTGAATCCAAATTCAGCATGTCACCATGGTGACAGGCACGTCTCTCAAGACATTTACTTCTCGCCTTAGGAAGTATCCCACATGATGCAGACGTCCAACTATTGCATAAAATATCAATTTGTTCGTTATGGCGTCATTTGCACACACATCTTCAATTACGCCTGGTGTTATTATAATTCAGAGCCATACAACCATATCGTTCTTGATGGCTTTCATGGTTTCCGTGATCTTTCTTTACCTCGGGGCGACACAATTGAAGATCAGTCCTAGCTCTCAACTTTCGTCTAGACATGCGTTTGTCGTCTGAAAACTGCAAAAGAAATTGACATTTTCAGAAATCGAAGACAATCATCACCAAGCAAAAGTTACCCGCACGCAGAAAGTACACATTATGGTGTCATAAAACAAGCCTTGATAGACTTGTGTTTCGATTTTATACCTGCGCCTTTGCTCGGAGTAAGAACTGGTTGGGTAGACTGTTATTCGATTTGCTTGGTGTCAAACGACGCATTTAGCAATGTCACAATGTCACATGTAAATGACGGTGGCCTTAAACATAGTAGTGATTGCAGTTGTGATCCATACCATTGGGGTTAGATGAGCTAGCGAGATTAATGTTTCAGCTTTCCAAACTGATTTTGATTGTTTTTGATGAGAAGTCATTGGTAGATACGTTCATGCCATAATATTAACATGATGATTGCAACAGAATTTGGAAATATTGTTTAAAATTTATTCAGGTTTGGATAGGTCCCAAAAAGTTAAAACAGAATTCAACCCACAATCATAGGTGCCTGCCGTACCTAAGGTGCGCAACTCTGCACATCAAATTGCAGCGCCTTAGACTATTTGGCCACCCGTGCCCTCGGTAAGGTACATATTTCTCTGCATCTGCGTACGGGCCAAGTCAATTATGATGGCTGGTCAAAAAGTTCTAAGCCTAACTAACAAAACCATCAGTTGTGAAAGTTATATTTTTCAGCATAGTCTCCCTGTTTTTCAATACCATCCTTATATCGATAGTGAAGTTTTTGCATTCCAGTCAGGAAGAAGGTTTCTGAAGCCACACTGAAAAACCCATTCACGGCAGCTTTGAGGCCATCGTTGTTGTCATTGCGCTTTCCACGATGGTGGTTTTCTTTTCAGTTTAGGAAACAGGTGAAAATCACTTGATGCCAGGTCTTGCGAGGAGTATGGAGGTTGAGGTCTTCGAACCCACATTGTCACACAGCAGCCTTCGCAAGTCGAGGTGTGTGAGAAGAGGCATTGCCATGAAGTAGTAGAACTAAAGCAGTGAGCATTCCTCGTCGCTTTTCTTTGATAGAATCTCTAAGGCGATGAAGCAAATCAGCATAGAAGGCACCGGTAACCGACTTTGGGCTTTAGTTATCAACAAGGATCACACCCTTTGCATTCCAGAATACAGTAGCCGTAACTTTCTTCACTGATCTTAAAAACTGGAATTTCTTTTGTACCGGAGAAGTGCCATTCCATGGAATAACGTTTTGACTCGGGATCCTAGTGTTAGACCCTTGTTTCATCACCCATTACTAATCTCATTTTGAATTTGTCGAAATCCTCCAAAATTAGCTCTGGATTTTCTCTGGCAATGTCAGTTATTTTTTCCTTAAGATCAGAATTTAGACACTTTGGCAGATGTTGTATTCACCTGTAAATGTTCATGAATAACAGTTTCAGTGGATCCTTGGCTTAGACCCGAGTCGTCCTCAAGTTCAGCAATAGTAATACGTCCATCTGACAGTATAGGTCTTTCAATCTCCTTGATTGAATCTTCATTGATGGAAGTTGAAGGACGTCAAGACCTAATATAAGGTCATCACCAAGGCTATGCCTTAAACATAGCTTGCCAACGTTAAACAGTGGAATAGCTTGGGCACTTAACCCCATAAACTTGTGACATGCGTTCACGAATTTCTTAGGGAGTAATTTTCTCTGAAGTAAAAAAGCATGACTGCTCGGTACTTGTTCTTTTTAATTTCTGTGTCCATTTGGACCACTATCATGTTTAACTGTCTGTCGCTAATATACAAACGGCCTAAACAAACCAAATACACTTGCAATGAACTACTCAAACAATGTACTACATTGAATAGTTCACTTTGTTATGGCCCATAGTTGAAAGTTAGTCAGGATGAGAACTGTTCGACCAACCCTCGTACACAAGAATGTATTATGCACTTGAGATTGCCCTTTGACAAGTGAATCATGTCCAATAGGCCACGCACTCACGATCACAAGAACACGATATTAAGTGCAGAACCCTTGTAAAGAGGTGAGGTGAAATGGGGTTTAACGTCGCGTCCAACATCATTGCACTTATATAGCGACGTGCATGCACGTGTGTGTGTGTGGCTGTTTGTACTAGTCCGGACTGATGCCGATTTATAGTGCTAGCTCACTGAGATACCATGCCGCAGTTTAACATGAATACCCCACTCAGACACAGTGTACTGACTCCGAGCCGACCAGTCCTTGTGTTAGCCCCTTAATGCCGAGCGCCAGACAGTGTAACAACAAGTACCATCTTTTAACGTCTTTTGGTATGACGCGGCCGGGGATCGAACCCCGGACCTTCCGCTCTCCGGGCGGACCTGGTAAAGAAGAAAGACGTTAATATCAATGTAACACTGTAAAACCGTGTAAATAAACTGCTGTTAAAAAAAGGAATACATCCATGTATGATGGTGGATGAAATGAAATAAGCAAAAAATGTTTTTTTAAGGGTGCTAGTAGCTTTTTGATGACGTTTATAATCTTTTGGGCAAATCCAATATTCAATATGGTTTTTTTCTTTTTCTCGGCAGTTTATATACGTAACAAACAGTGTGTGTGGCGGATATAAATCTCCTAAAACGCAAAAAGCACATTGAGGTCAATTCTTATCAATAGATAAGTCAACAATAATAACTGCCTATTCCTTATTTATTCCTCAAGAGAAATACTGTAGACAACAACATGAAATGAGTGACGTCGTACAGCGCAATAATACACACCATGCCCCGCCCAGCCAATCAGGAAATAGTAGTCCGTTATAGGGCAAGGTTAAATTGCTTGGTTAGACAATCAAATGTCATGAACACTTGAAATTTATCTATTTTAACTCACAACGGAATCGATGACTTAAGTAAGATTTCTTCTACGATTTCACACGAAGGCCATACAGGACTGGTTAACTCTCCGTGTGTGTGTGTGTGTGTGTGTGTGTGTGTGTGCGTGCGTGCGTGCGTGCGTGCGTGCGTGCGTGCGTGCGTGCGTGCGTGTGTGTGTATGTGTGTGTGCGTGTGTGTGTTTGTGGTGTGATTGTCATTGTATATGTGCGTGTGTTCAGACAATAATAATAAAACTTTATATAAATCAACGTTCTAAGAAGCTAGCTTGTAAACCGAAGCTATCCCGCCTCCACCGTCTATAAACATTATGCACGGCTGTAACACTACAATAACAGCCCAGTCACACATGTTACTCACATTCTCAAACCCTCATCAATGCCGTTCAAATTCTTTCCATATTCTGAGACAATAATCCTAAACGTGCATAATTTTCTACATAATAATTGATGCTGTTTATAATCTCGTCACTCAAGAAACAGCACGGACAACACCAATTAATCGATGAATGTTTATCCCTTAAATCCTGTTATAATGCGTTCTGAAACAAAAGTCTGCATGGTCCCCGCATAAAAATGAAGTTAAATGTCAATTTCAGAAGTGCATAATTTTTACTCAATATGACAAAGATCGTAGATGTAGGCATGTTTATTTATGATCGCTTGTCAGAAGGTTGATAAGTATTTGTGTAAAACAAAACAAAAAATGACGAACGATGAATTCGTACTTCGGTGACACCAGAACATTGATTAAGTAAAAAAAGAACTCATTCCTGACAGACAAAGTCGTGTTAATGACATGCAAAAAACGTACGTGCCCTTGATATGAAACACATGTCACCAGGCTTACTGGAAAACTTAACATCGACACGTCACGTTTAGATGTGGGGTTGTACTAATAAACTAGAAACTGGGGGTATGGAGACTTACCACTTAAAAAAACGCACATGTTCTTTATGTTTTAACCATTGCATTGAGGATGAAATCGGTGTTTTAAGGAAATGTCTAAAGTACGATGATCAACGTTTAAATTCAGAATACAGTGCCTGTTATTTTAATGTTGGTTTTGGGGATCTGTCTTGTATTTAGAAGTTCTGTTTTTGCATGTTGACTAAAGTGACTTCTGTGTAACTGAGGCTATGTCCGGTTTATACAGAGATCCGGATTAGTGAGGTTATAGCGGGATCTAAAGAAATGGGAAACAATTACGTTGACAGAATTTTTATTGTTTATGATAAAATATACGGGACCGTAAACGTGGTCCGCTATATACAAAAATCCGGATTTTTCTGAGTTCGGTATTGATAGATTCCATCGTATATAATTTAAGTAACAGCGACAAAACAATTTCCATAATCGTAAGAAATCGATGCTAAAGTTGAGTCCGTTGTGCGACTCCGACTATATTATAAGCATTCGTATATGATTCACTATAAAATAGTGATGACTCGTACTAGGTGTTCGCGAAAAGATGAGTGTATCCTACCCCACCGTTGGGACCCGTCACAAACACATGCAAAGGCAAGTCAACTGGTCACATGAAAAAACACGGGAACATGTGGTACACCTCCTTCTAGAGAACTGCATCGGACATCGTTGTTGTCCTGTCACGTTAAATTTGAAAATGTCTTCCGTGATATATCTACCACAAAGCTTTACCAATTTCATAACCTTGACCAAACAACGTTTGAGCAAGAGTCATATGACGTTCGTTGTCGCAAACATTCAAAGTTTTAATTATCCAGATCTTTTACCAATATAGAATGTACACAACGCGACAATTATTACCTACATATGTTATGAGTTTAGTGTAATGTCTTTATCATAATTATCAAAGTCATAAATAAAAAATTAAGAATGTAAATATCAACTGATAAGACCGAAGGAAGATGAGGTGATGTGAAAAGGGGTTTAACGTCGTTCAAGATTATCAACACATATAGCGACTTGCATGCACGCGCGCGCGCGTGCGTGCGTGCGTGCGTGCGTGCGTGCGTGCGTGCGTGCGTGCGTGTGTGTGTGTGTGCTTGTACTAGTCTGGACTAATGACGATTTTATAGTGCCATCCACTGAGATACCATGCTGCATTTTAACATGAATATCCATTCAGACACCGTATACTCACTCGATCCGACCAGTCCTTGTTTAGGCCCTTACTACAGAGCGCCAGACAGGGTAACAAC